ACAGGAAGTGGACCTGGTCCAGCCCCGACGGTTCGACAAAAATGAGATTGACTTTATTATAACGACTAGACAGCAACTGTTTAATAATGTCTCAGTGATCGCGAGGGTGAAAACTGGTAGCGATCACTGAATGGTTAGAGGCACACTGAACTTAAACGTTAATGAAGCCAACGCTCCGTCCCCCTCGTGCTCTAATCCAAAGTCCCTAAACCTTTCAGATCGAGTTATAAAACCGTTTTCAGTGCATAGAAGATTGCAATGCAGTTAACGATATGAATAAGAAGCTTGTGGAAACTGTCCATGCCGACGAAGCTAAGTTTTGCGAAACCCGCTGCAGAAGAACATAAAAACTCTCCGATCCCACTCTTAATCTCATGCCTGTTAGACGGGAAATGAAGTAGCAGTCTCTACTGAAGACTACTGAACCGACAGATCTCCAAAGGTATGCCAAGAGTCTTACGCAACTTAAATACCGCTCGTATTGAAGAAGCGATCGAGCGCAACCAGGGCTCCAAAGTTTTTGCCACAAATCTGTCTGCTTGAAAAGCCAACTGTCGAAGCTGAAGACCGAATGTAGCAGCATCGTTTCCGGGACTCCTGAGATTTTGAGTGACACTGAGAGGTTCCATGGGCAGTTGTACACATCATCGTTGGAGCCAAACGCAAGTTTGTGTAACGATCCAAGAGCAAGTCTTATCCGACACTATTCCGATGATATCCTGGACGTCAGTATGAGCGAGATTAGAAAAATGGCTTTCCGGCTCCTTAAAAACGGGGTCTTGCCCCAGGCGAGGATGGAATTACAGCGGAGCTTCTGAACGCTTGTGGAAAACCGGTATTTGAAGTCCTCCAGAAGTTCTTTCCCTCCTTCATGGTGGCACTTCTCTGGAGGCGTGGAGCAGAAGTGCGGTGGTCTTGTTCTTCCAGAAAGGTGATAACGCTCCCTTGAAGAACTACAGACCGAATTCCCTTCTGAGCCGCGTCTACGTGCTGTTTTAGAGAGTCATTACAAATCATTTCGCACGCAGACTCGACGACTTCCAGCCTCCCGAATAAGCCGGTTTCCGAAAAGGCTTTAGCTCCACATACACACCCTTCGACAAATTGTACCGAAGACCGAGGAGTATAATTTACCACTATGTCTTGCATATGTGGACTATATGAAAGTCTTTGATTCCGTCGAAATTTGGGTGGTGCTGCGGTCCCTTCAGCGGTGTCAAGTTGACTGTCGGTATATCGAAGTGCTAAAGTGTTTGTGCATTAGGGCTACCATGGCTATCTGAGTACAGAACCAGAGTACGAAACCTATCCAATTGCAGAGAGATGAAAGACTGGGTGACGATATATCTCCGAAAATCTTCACCGCTGCATTGGAAGACGTTTTCAAGCTACTGAACTGGAAAGGATACGGTATTAACATCAATGGCGAGTACATCACTAAACTTCGATTTGCCGATGATATAGTCCTTATGGCAGAATCGCTGCAGGACCTAAGCACTATTCTCAATGACCTCAATAGTGTCACCCAACGGATAGGTCTTGAGATGAACATGGACAAAACAAAGATCATGTGTAATGTCCATGTCACATCTATGCCGGTAGTTGGGAACACTTAGCTAGAAGTTTTTGACGAGTATGTTTACCTGGGACAAATAGTCCGACTAGGTTAGTCCAACTTTGAACAAGAGGTCAATCGACGAATTCAATTTGGCTGAGCAGTGTTCGGGAAATTACGACACATCTTCTCGTCAGGTATACCTCAAAACTTGAAAAGGACAACCTGACAACTGACAACTGCACAACCAGTGCGTGTTGCCAGTGATGATTTATGAAACTGAGACGTGTTCCTTCACTGCTGGCCGTATGAGGAAAGTTAAGGTCACTCAGCGAGCTATGGAGACGGCTATGCTCTAGATTTCTCTGCGTGATAAACTTAGAAATTAGAATAACCGCAGGACAACCAGAGTGACCGATATAGTCCAACGGATTAATAAGCTGTCAATGGGCCAAATCAAATGGGCCAGCCATATAGCTCGAAGAGCCGACAACCGAAGGGGAAAAAAGATTCTCGTATAGCAGCCTCGTATCTCGACTACGTAGGTAGGCGTAGTGTATTGCGACTCCCTACTAGATGGTGGTAAGACATGCAAGAAGTCGATGGATGCAGGTGGCTTAGGACCGTGCTTTGTGGCATTCCTTGGGGGAGGCCTATGTTGAGCAGTAGACTTATGAAGGGCTGTAATGATGATGATCATCATCATCATCATTGCAGGTGCACCATGTAGTAACTATGGCAACTAACTTTTTAATGGTAACTGACTTTCTTCTGCAAAGTTTATAAATGATTTTCCTCCGATTTCATATCAGCAGCGATAACTTCGATTCTTCTCGATACTGTTCTGGCTGGCAATGGTATCGTTTCAATAGCCGCAATAATGTCAGTGTTGTTTATAAATTCCGAAAGACAGAATCAGCAGCTATTAAGTAGGCTTCCTTTATTATTTCCCCGTCTACAAAAAAGCTTTTTCTGCTTAGCCAACAAATGAGAAACCTTTAAAGATGCAATAGTAGAGCTTTTCAAAATTTGAACTGGCCTGGTGAAAACGCTTTGTTGTTTTGTTAGATTTGTCTTCAATTCGCAGACACGTTTCTTCCGAATTTCACTATTTGGTGGGAAACTACTGTTACACGATGCATGCAGAGTATTGAAGTGTATTTCAATGTAACTTTTTGTAAACACTGCTACTTTTTTTGCGCCCAGAAGCAATTGAAAAGGGCTACCCCCAGAAACGAAAGGGAGGTGGGGAATTCTCTAAGCATACCACGACAGCCGGCTGTTATGATTATGTGGGTCTCAATGCGACTAACCTAACCTAACCTAAGTGCCTAACCACTAAACACCACCTGTGAGACTAGCATTGGCTTATGAGGCCTTTCTGCCGAATCGGAAGCGACCCTCTTTTGGGAAAAGGGGGCGCAGACGGCGACGAGCCGATGACGGGGAGCCTGACTAAGGCAAATTAAGATAAGTCGGCCTGAGCCGCCAGGAGGCAGTTCAGGTCGGCCGAAAGCTTGTTTGGCGGATCCGGGAGGGAGTTTCTCGACCTGCGGACTCGATAGCGAGAGGGGAGTGGGGCTGCATAAATGAAATGATTGCAGTGAGACTCTGAGGCTTTGAAGAACTTCTCAGAGTGTGTTTTTAGAAATTGTTGAATTGTGGGGAGCTCTAAGTCTCGATGGAGGTCGGCGTTACGGACTTACCAGGGTGTGTTCGGAGCTCGACGACAGAAAAGGTTTTGAACTATTTGGAGTTCGTTAATGATTTTGGGATTAGCGTGGGCAAATATGGGGCCCGTGTAAGTCATGACTGGTCGTGTACAGACCTTATAAAGGGTTCGCTTGTTTCGAAGGGACATTTTACTGTGACGGCCCAGCATACTGTTGAGTCTACTCCGATAAAAACATGCGTTGCGGGTTACTCCTTTGGCATGGGGCCCGAAGATGAGCCTCGTGTCAAGGGTGACACCTAAATATTTGGCAGTCGTATGCCAGGGGACAGGGGTCCCTAGCATATGAATCACTGCTACACTGGCATTGAATAATAAACAAATACTTTTTTGGTTTAACTCAATAAAAACAACTGTTCTTTCCACTCTTTATTGAAATAGTAAGTTCTTGGCCTTTTACTTGTGTTAAAAAGACAATATAGCAATTTCAACTCTACAAATTCAGGTAAATTCAGGTCTACAAATATGTACGAATAGCTAAAACTAACAACACAAATCTGCGTGATAAACTTAGAAATGAGGATATCCGCAGTAGAACCAGAGTGACCGATATAGCCCAACGAATTAGTAACCTGAAGTGGCTGATGATGATGAACAACACAAAAATGCGGCTACTTATCTCTGAGTATTGCAGCGCAACTCAGAACAGGCGGGGTGAGGCTCGGTATAGTAGTTGAATTATAGTATGCACGCTTTATTACGCCGTGCCGTTACAAAGGGCTTGCCGACTTGTGCTGAAAGCCGAAAGTTGGCTCATTCAAATAAACTACGTGATTTTATGAAGACGCATTAAAAAACCGTTGCGTACGCAAGTGCGCCTGTGGTCACAGCTTTGTCGAACCACACGTTAGCTCTCACCTGCACACGGTCAGCTAGGTGCTCGACGAGGAGTAACGGCGAGGCTAGGCAAATGTTCTATCCTATGTTGGTACTCGCCTTCGCTCGACCTACATATACGGCTTTAAAAAGTTATATAATTAGTTTTTCTACAATCGGTAACTTTAGTAAAACTTTACGAACAAATAGAGAGCAATACTAGGAAGTAGGAAGGATCTAGGCTGTATTTTATGCGAAAAACTTGAAGATTTCATTTAGTTTAGTAGTAAAAAAAGTAAAAAAATTGTCTTTGATTTTTTAAATCTAAATAACACTACATTAATAGATCCGATAGAATTAGATAGAAAAACAAAAATTATGTAACTATATGTTTTATTATAAATTTAAAAGTGAGGTTATACGAATCACATTTTTAAAGTCCACTGTTGTTTGTACAATAACCTGTTGATGAAATGTTATTATTATTAGATTATACATGTTGATATTATATTATTTTTGAAATTAATTCACACAAAAATGTTATAATTTTATGAACAAACAATTTTAAAATCGAGAACTTAAATCAATATGATTCAATCTGCAATCAATGTGATATTTGTCCGACCGATTGAAACATTGGCTGGGACTGGTACGTTTACATTATTTATGGTTGCATTTTGAAAAGACTATTCGTTTACCACAATTTAAGTTACATAAAAATAACTTTTTAACCAGTAAATAAAGCATAAATTATTTATTCTTAAAATTTATTCGCGGGATGACAGCTCGTGTTATTATTAAATTATTAGTATTCCCTAGGTCAGTGTTTTCGTCTTCAAGATTCGCTACGAAGGCCACCTCCATATTTGTATACTGTCTTGGTAAGTGCAGGCAATTTTAACCCCAAACCCTGACGCTTTGATCCCAGGAGCAACTTGCCATCGCGATGCCGTTGGGTGCTACAGAAATTGATGTGACTCTATTCTCGTGCCCGTTAAGAGTTCCTGAAAAATGATTTGTAGCACTCATAAACAAATAATACAATACAATACAATACAATACAAACACTCAAGCCTGTCACCCAAAGGGGTAGGCAGAGACTACAGACTTCCATTTGGCGCGATCCTGACACACCTCTCTCGCCTCCTTTACATCCATATATTTACGCATACACGCTCGTCGGTTAAGGGTACTCATAATCTGGCCCATTTTCAATGTATTGCCGATTTGGTCGATAAATCTTCGTCTAGGGCGTCCCTTCCCGACTTTGCCGTTCACTTCTGAAACATAAATTTGCTTTGTCACTCTTTCCTCGTTCATTCTTTCTACGTGACCAAGCCACCGAAGCTTTCCTTTTTTAATCCTAGTCACAACGTCATCTTGCAAACCACACATTTCTCTTATCACACTATTTCTCACCCTGTCATTCAGATTCAGCCCTAGCATACTCCGTAATTACCGCATTTCTACAGCCTTTATTCTACTCTCATGCTTTTTCTGCCATACCCAACTTTCACTACCATACATTAAAGTAGGGACTAACACACCATTATGAATTGCCATACGTGTCTTCTTTGACACATTCTGACTCTTCATAATAGCGTATAGAGCCCCATTAACTCTATTTCCTGCGTTTACTCGTCATTCTATATCCTTGTTATATCTACCATCCTTGCTAAATAAACATCCCAAATATACAAACTCATCCACTTGCTCAATCAACTCCCCTTCTATTCTTATTTCACATAACGTTTTACTTTCTTCTCTTTCAAAAACCATCACTTTCGTCTTACTTGCGTTCACTTTCATACCCCTTTCTTTTAATGACCAGTTCATTAAATTAACCATCATTTGCATCTCGGCCGCCGACGATGCAAATATGACTTGATCATCGGCGTACAAAAGGCATTTGACAGTTAACTCACCCATTCTCAACCCACATTCTTCAACTTTCAAAGTTTGCAAACAACTGTCCATAAACAGGTTAAACAGCCACGGAGAAGCTACACAACCCTGTCTGACACCTTTTTGAATGCCAAACCAGTCCGAGTAGGCCCCGTTAATCCTGACACAAGCACTAGAGTCCCTATAAAGAGACTTTAATGCCTTTATCAGACCAGCGCTCAGCCCAAATGAGGTCAGTGTTTGCCATAACACGTTCCTGTCCACTCTGTCATAAGCCTTTTCCAAGTCCATGAACTCACATAAAACTTTTTGGTTTTTGGCCAAAAATTTCTCCGCAGTCATGCGCATGGAAAACCAACCAAAACCAACCAAAACGCCATCCCCTTTCTAATTCCAGTTTGCACATCCCAAATTTTTCCATCAGTTTCTTCCATAACTCTTTCAATTAACACCGTAGCATACAGTTTCCCCACAATGCTAAGCAAGCTGATACCACGGTAGTTTTTATAGTCCTGCTGCGACCCCTTTCCCTTATATATTGGGATTATAACGGTTTTGCACCAATCTTCCGGTACCCGCTTCAGTTCCCAACATAAATTAAACAAGGAGTACAGCAGGCCTGCAACCACACCCTCTCCAGCCCTTAGCATTTCGAGTGATACTAGAGTATCACTCGAAATGCATGAAAAGCACGAAAGCAGGTAAGGCAGCCGGATATGATAGATCATATCCGGCTGCCTTACCTGCTTTCATGCTTTTCATTGCTTTCATTATTTCATCTACACTTATCTCCCTACCTCTCTCCACTTCTTCCCGGATTTCTATTTCACTTACTTCAGACGACTCTTCATTCACACAAGTCTAAATCATTCATACAAAATTCATTCAACACACTTATATTTTCCCTCAGTCTGCATTTATAGTTTTCTTTTACACCTTCATTTTGTAACCTCTCTATTCTTATACGCTGTAACGCAGTAGTAGACACAGATGTCCGATGCTGCCAGCGCTTGAATAGACCATTAATTCGGCATAAGACCAAGTAATGATCCGTCCCTACGTTGGACCCACGGTAAACCCTTGTAACTACCACTGCGCTCCTCATTCTTTCATCCACAGTAATGAAATCTATTATGCTTCTATCATCCCCTCTTTCCCAAGTATACATGTGAATCCTCTTATGGCGAAAGAAAGTGTTCGCCACAAAAAGATTCTTTTCCACACATATGGTGAGGAGGTCTTCACCATTCTCATTTATTCTTTCATCGCCAAACGCTCCTAATATCCTTTCATAACCAGACCTCTTCACCCCAACCCTTCCATTAAAATCTCCTAACATAATCATATTTTCATTTTCCTTACATTTAGTTAACACCAGCCTTATCATGTCCCCAAACTGCTCTCGGATATAAGTGGGCTTAGACATATCTGGGGCGTACACCCCAAGCACAAACAACTTTTTTAAGCCCACTTTCATTCGTATCCACAGCAGCCTTAGGCTTACACATTCATACTCTTTCACACATTGACCCATTCTTTCTGAAAGGATGACACCGACTCCTTGGCATGCCCGCTCGGTCTCGTCTACACCAGACCAGTAAGCGGTAAACATGCCATGTTCAGTGACATCTCTTCCCTTTCGTTTCGTCTCATTCACACATAACACATCTATTCCTCTATCATTCATCATTTCGTATATTTCATCCATCTTATCATTCATTGTTCCACATACATTCAGCGTAGCCAGACGGGCCTCCGCAATCCACTTTTCGCCCCTCCGGGAGACAGGACGTGACGGGTGGCGAACCTCGTCGCCGGTTTTCCTCCCGGAGATTCTTCGCACCCCTGCCCCATTAAAGGGGCGCCGGGAACTCGGGGCCATTTCTTTAAACTGTTGGCTCATGGTGCGACATAAGGGTGGTAGACTTTACGCCGCTACAATACGGCGAGGAGCCGAGTCTGTCGTTTCGGCTCTGTCGCTCGTTTAGCACCACCTGGGGGACACGTGTAGGGTGGGCCTAGGGTTAGGTGGTCGAAGCCTACGGACGCGAGCGACTCATCCCAATCCAAACAAATAAATTTTCAAAATATATAAAATCTATTTTAAAACAAACTTTTATAGACGTGACAAGGGCCTACATTCAAGTCCATCATCAGATAATCTCCATGGTGATAAGATAATATTATTGCATTGTCAAATTTTGATTCAATCGGATGTCAGGAAGTGCTTCAAATTCAAATATTGATTACAAATTGTGAACCAGTTAGGCATACAGAGAAAGCAAATCTATTAAAAGCTTATAATATTAAAAACATTTTAATGCAGTATTACATATACAACTAGCTGCTCCCCGCGACTTCGCTCGCCTGTAATTTATGGTTTTAATTTTTCTGCGCGGAACCCCAATTCTTTTTCTGAATTAAAAGTAGCCTATGTCACTCCTTATAACACCAGCTATCTGCCAGTAAAAGTCCCGTCAAAATCGGTCCTTTCATTTCGGAGATTAGGCGGAACAAACAGACAGACAGACAGACGACAAAAATTTAAAAAAATATCCTTTTATTTTAAGTAGGTACCGTATATATTTTCATACGCATTTAGTAAAAAGCTTTTATTTATGTTTGTAAACTTCAATTTTATTTATTTGTATAGATGTCTCAAGCAGTTCAATGCTTGCTTTAGGATCTGACATAAAATGTAAGAAAAGCTGTAAATTTTATCGTACGTTAAGTTGGAATCATACCTGTATGGCAAACTTTGAGCGTATCCCAAGAGTGGACAGCATTGTCATCGGACCCAGCTAAGAGATAGCGTCCGCTCAACGATAGAGCTGAAAATAAGGTATTTTATTTAATTTTTTTTTATTTTAACAGCATCGCCCCAACACTGGTAGGTAATTTCCTTTATATGCGGAAGTAGCCACAAAGTCGTGAAGTCCATTATCTCCTGCAGCTAACTTTAAACAAGGCTTCAGATGCGTTGTCACTTCCGAGGACTAAGATGGAATGGCTTTATATATGCCTATATACGTGGTAGAGCCATGCTGCAGCTATATTAATAGTATAGTTGTAGCACGGGTCGGCTCGATCGGGGAAGGACCACGCTCTCACAGAATACCAGCGTAAAATAGCAATTTAATGCTGCTGTGTTTCGTATGGTGAGTGTAGAGAACCGGAGATCCTTTTTACTGGAAAAGAGGCGTTCCATTTTATTCCTCACGGCTGACAACGCATCTGCATTTTGATGCGCACACGAGGATAGATGTAGATGTCTATGGGCTACAGCAACCAGTTAACATCAGATGGACTGCGTGCTCGTTTGTCACCCTTATACTATACTTTAAAAATAATTATACTGATTCTCTATAGTCTTCAGACTTGAACAAAGAGGTGCACGCACCGTTATTTGACGGCAGAGAAAGGTAAGAGGGTGGTATCTACTTACAATACAGAAAAGATTCCTAAAACCTTGAGGAACATATCACACGTGAACGTACAACCAGCTTGAAAACAATTATTGATATGTCAAATTTATTTGTCGTTGTGTACTATGCCCAACATCTGTGTATGCACCTTTAATTTATAGAGCACCTTTAATTTGTAGAGCAACACGGTCGATTTCTAGATCTCGACAAAAACGCCACCTACCGGGTTCAATTGTGAATCTAAACCATTCTCTAATCAACTTACACATGCACAGAATTTCATTCATTTCACACACACACACACACACACACACACACACACACACACACACACACACACACACACACACAAGCATAAACACGGACAGAAGAGTTAAATAATATATTATATATATTTATTATACATATAATCTGTTGAGTTATTTGAAAGAATTAAGCGTACAGAAGGTGGAAAGTGACTTTGGTTTTTATTTCATAGAGATTAGTCCGTTGTGGCTCCAGTGCATTTTGGTGAACTTTATATGTCTTCAACTTTTTTTTTGCTAGTCAAATGTAAACGAGCATACAGTTAACCTGGTGGCAAGTGACTAACGCCACCTATAAACACCCGCAACGTTTCTTTTAAAAGGAGAGAGAGAATTTTCAAAAGGAGTAGTTTATTTTCTCGTAGGTCCCTAAAAATCGCTGGTGGTAACCGAATTCACAAAGAAGTGCGGGGAAGAATACGTCTTGTAAAGCGCACAGTAGTGCAAGCATCCAGATTATATAGGTATATCGTTTAGCGTATTATGTCAATGTGTTGTGTGAATTAATCCGTACAATGCTTCTGAGCAGTTCCCGTCATTATTCCTCGGGAAACCTCCCCATGGTTATTCATGAGACGTGCAAATTTTCTCACGATGTTTCTTGAAGTGTTTTGAATTGTAGTTTCGTTGCAGTATCAAGAAAAATTTTATTCTAATATACCAATATGACAATGATGTTTCCCCGCCAAAGGAAGAATCATAAGGAGCATAAACAAATGTTAGAAGAACTGTAAAGGAATTGTTTATTAAATTATGAAATAGTTGGTCACCCTACATTTCAGCTATTGTTTCAGACAGGTGCATTCGGGTATACTCAGCCGTCATTGTTTCTGTGTTTACGTAAACGTTTTGTATAAAGTTATTTCTTGATAATATCTCCAAAGGTATGCGGAGAATGGATGTTTTTGAAAGACTTCACAATGTGACTGTCTGTTTTTTTTTTTGCTTATGTACGAGTAATTCAACATTGTATAACGGGCGTGTAAAGTGATCATTTGTACCTACTTGGATAATTATAATATCTCAGAATAGTATGCTCGCTAACATACAATACCACAGTTCTGCTGGGTTCCCTGCTGGTTCTTTAAAAGAATAGAGATATTTTCCGAAAGATTGGTAAATAAAAATTTTCAAATGGAATATGTATTACACCTAACACTTATAAGGAAATAAATGCTAGTTGATTCATTTCTTATGCGTCTCATTAATCTACCGACTTCAAAAAGGAGACGGTACTCATTACGACTGTATGTTTTTTTATGTGTTTACTTTTTACTGGGTGAATCGAATTCGTTGATTCTTTTTTTATTTGAAAGCTGGTGCTTCACATGTGATCCCATATATATATTTGATTAAGGTCTGACCAATAGTTTTAGAGTTATTCTCAATAATTTATATTGAAGTCGGCTGTACAAAATTTTTAATTTTTAATTATTTATTTGCAGTTTTAGTAGTTTAATGCGACAACTTAGCGTAGTATTTTATGTAAATTTTTCCTCCAAGTTCTACCTGAAAAATTACATTGATTTTTTTTAAATTAATAGGCACTAAAAAGTCACTAAATCGTAACACATAGTTCATAGCGAAAGACTAGGGAGGTAGGAGGGTACTGGAGTAATTCTATTTTATGTAATATTCAATACAGAACCCTCCATGAGGCATGTGAATGACTCCGGTTCCGTTGAAGCGACCAATCTCGGTATATATATATGTCACCAATTAGTCACCAAATCTTTAAATAGGAATTACATCTTAACGCAGACAATACCGACGTTTTCTAGGTGCGGCTGCTGGCTAATTCAAGCTATCCTGCAGACATGCAGCTCAACTTTAAAACCTGCAAGTGGGAGTCCACTTACCGCAGCTGGTGAACCCGCTGTTCCCGGGCGGTGTGTAGTGTCCCAGCTGCTGGTCGCTGCGTATGTCGAAGAGACGCGCCGTTTTATCCTCGGAGGCGGTCGCGAACGCTTGACCGCTTGGATGGTACTGTATGGTGATAAGTAATTTAAAAATATTTAACGAACAGTATAGAGAGTTACTTGTACGATAGTTGGAGTAAATTGTTTTCCGTATTTAATCTTTCGACATCACAGCTGGTACCCGGCGCGTTGCTGCAGCGGAAAAAATAGTTGTGGAAATATCGTTTTAAATTTGGAAGGGTTACATTGTTTAATTAATTGATGTTGTATAATATCATAGATTATCTCCTAGGGGGTATAATCTATGTATAATATGTACAAAGTACATTCATTGAAATTGAATAATATATATTATGACTTTCAAATATTTTTTTGCGTACGATACGCGCGCCACCTACTGTAAATTAATTGTACTATGCCTATAACCTGCGCACAAGTGCAAGCAATAAGTTGACAAAGTATTAGCGCAATCTGATGAACGGTATGGCAGCGCATAAAATACGAACAAAAAATATTTTTATATATTAGATTTGCACGCCTGGATTAGGCAGAATGTAACGGAACGTGTATAGTTTAATAATAATTTTATAACACCCACATTCTATACAAATAAATGATTATGAATTATGATATTGGTAATTCATCATCATTTTCTTAATGAAAACCCTGTAACTTTACACCTCCAGTAAGAATATTCACTACTACCCCACATCATCCCGTGGGTGTCGAAGGAGGCGACAGAGGGAAACAAATCAGGAGATGGGCAGCAGCGTCTTCCTAATAACAACTAGAAAATACTAAACTGCGGTTGCCAACCCGCTTGCCAAGCGTGGCAACTTTTTTTATAGAACAAGGGTGACACTCCGTTCGTTTGTCACCTGATGGTAAGATAGACATCATCATTTATTCTCAATTAAGAATCAAAATGCAGATGCATTGTCACCCCTGAGAACTGAGATGGAATGTCTCGTTTCAAGTAAAAAGGGTCAACAACTGCTATTTTACGCTCGTATTATATGAGAGCGTGGTCCTACCCCGGTCGAGCTGACACATTCGTGCCATAACCATAACATAGTTGCAGAGTGGCTTTACCACGTAGCGAAACTATAACAAATATCGCCCTTATGAGCCAATCTCTGAGGTAAGCGGGCCTATGTTAAAGTGGACTTTGACAGGTTTTAATAAATGAATGAATATAATGCATTTCAAAAAGCTCTCGTTACCAACTGATGTTGTGAATTTCAACAAAAATTCTGAATCAAAATTACACACAGTCCACCTGATGGCAATCAGATGCTGTGGCCAATAGACATCTACGCGTATCTTCGACTAAGAATCAAAATAAAGATGCGTTATCACCCCCGTGGACTAAGATGGAATGCCTCGTTTCCAGTAAAAAGGATCTCCGGTTCTCTACACTGAGCATACTAAATATAGCAGCATTAAGCTGTACGCTGATATAATGTGTGTAATGTCCTTCTCTGAGCCAGTCCATTCGTATAACGTAATATACGATACCATAATACGAGTATACCTGCATGTTTCTAGCACGTATAAAATATCTGCCGTTGTTCAATGATATTTATACAAAAAAAAGGTAAGTAGATACGTTACTAGCACGCAAAAATTGACACGTCGGAAAATGGTCAATTAGCCACTCTAGTCCTTGGCTAATAAATATATGATACTATGATTACGTAAGCTTAAAGAGGCTCAGAAGGGCTGGAACCCAGAGCCGTAAAGCCAGATTAAAAAAAGTAAGCTTAAAGAAAAGGACAACAATAGACGTTCCAGAACTGGTGCGATAAGAACACGAAGAGCGAGAAAGAATGAAGTGAAATGTATGTAAAACATTAAAATATGTAAATGTGCTGCCGTTGTTACTGCACATTTTTTTCGATGGCTTTATGGGTATATAACGTATCTATAAAAAAATGTCATTGTGGTTGTTGGCAAACTCACGCAAACACTATTCACGTCCGCGTCGTGGCCGAAGAATGTTTGCTTGGCCTTCTCGTCCCTGACGTCCCACAGCTTGCAGGTGCGGTCCACTGAACCAGTCACGTACGTCTTCATTTCTGTACAATAAAATACTTGTGAAAAGCAAAAAAAAAAATGGCAAAGTTACATTCTATATTCCTTCTATACCTTCTCCTATTCCTAAGAGGGTTGCATGGCAAAGAAGTGACCGCTGCACTAACCCAATGCGTGATGGAATTGTTTTATAAAAAGAAAAATATTCAATTGCATTTTTAAGATATAGGCACCATTAAATTATATCTCATTGAACCTAAATGATATTGGAAGCGTATAAATATCCAACCGTACCATGTAGTGGCGGTGTAAGAATATCCACTACCATAATATCATGCCGTGAGTGTTGTAAGAGTGACAGAAGGAAACAGATCAGGAGATGGACAACAGCGTCTTCCTAATGGTTGCCAACACGCTTGCCAAGCGTTTTAACTATGCCAAATATGCTCCCATGGGCCAACCAAAACAAAGAAATAGGTCCAGGATCCTTCATAGATATAGAAGGTGCTTTTGACAGAATAAAGACATTTGAGTTGAACCGGCACTAATTGACTGGATAGTAAACATACTCAGTTCACTAACAATAAAGATTGCTGGTGAATCTTAAGCAGTCCAAATAACGAGGGCCTGCCCACAGGGTAGGTTTCTTTTACCTCTCCTGCTGAATATGGTCATAAATGAACTAATCAGCAAATGAAATGCCAACCACTTCTATACAATTGGTTATGCAGATGACCTGACAATACTGGTCTTGGGAAAAATAGTTAACATGGTGTGCAACCTGACCCAAGCGGCTCTACGTATAGTGGAGAGTTGGTGCAAGGAATACATCGTAATCATTAATCCAAATGAAATGGTTTTAGTAATGTTCACACAAAAACGAATGCTGAATAATCATCACCTACCAAGTCTCTTCAGCACAAAACTCCAGCTATCCACTGAGGTAAAATTCTTAGGTCTTACCTTGGACAGTGAATCAACTGGAATAAACACATAGAAAACAAAATCAACAAAGTTAGTATAACTTACTGGCAATGCAGAAACATGATTGGCAAACGATGGGGTCTAACGCCAAAAATTATTCTGTGGCTGTACAAAGCTGTATTTCGGCCCATGATCACATACGGCACTCTAGTATGGTAGACCAAAACAAATAACGCCACCACTATAAAGAAGCTTCAGCGTTACCAGAGACTGGCATTTATGGCTGCCATAGGCTATATAAGGACTACACCAACAGCAGCCTTAGAGACCATGTTGGAGCTAACCCCGCTTCATCTATACATAAAACAAGAAGTGACTTTAGTTGCCATTAGACTCAACACCCTAAATCTTTGGAGTAAGAGTAGAGACCCTCATACATGTATAATTGATAGAATTTACGCAATATTTCCTATCTTACAAGCCAAGTACGATAAAATACCCAAACAATTTGTATTCGATAAGAAATATAAGATACAATTAAATGAAACCAGCCAGCCGGAGGGATTAAGCCCATTAGAACTTAGATATTTCACCGATGGTTTTAAAACAAATGAAGGTTTGGGATCTGGAACTTTCTCTGAAGACCCTAATATCCACATATGTACACCGTTGGGTACGCACAACACAGTCTTTCAGGCGGAATGTATGGGTATTGTCCAAGAGACCATAGCAATAGATGCTAGGAAGGTAAAAGATTTCTCCATCAAAATACTGACCGACAGTATGGCGAACTCGGGACTAATATATGAATGCCATCAACTATTAAATGAGGTATGTAAACACAGTATGTAATAACTCTGCAATGGATAAAGGGACATAGTGGATCCAGAGGCAAAGATGCAGCAGACGAACTGGTCAGGAGAGGATCGGCCCTGGCCACTATAGGGCCGGAACCAATCATACCAATCCCCTTTGGTAACGTTCGTTCACTTGCACGTAGAAACTTAATCAACACGCTCAGCATTGGAAAAATCTAGCAGACTGTAGACAACCTAGGGAGGCCAAGGTTCTTATAAGACTGAACAATCCACAGATCAGAATAGTAACACGTTCTATCACAAAACATGGCTCCTTTAACAAACATTCATTTAGCATAGGTGTTAGAGATAGTGCCCTGTGTCGGGCATGTATTGGGGAGAAAGAAACGGCGGCCCACATGTTGCTGACATGTCCGGAGGTCGCTGCATACAGGGCTAAAAATCTCGGCACGCCGGCATCACACCCCGAAGTTGCTTGCAACATCAAAGGAATGTTTAACTTCTTCGGGGAGATTTCATGGCTCGAATAATTACATTGTTCCTGCCCACACTCAAAATACGCGCTTAGATGTTGCGGAAAACAGCCCGTTGTAAACTAAACTAAACTAAACTATCAACCCATAAGGCAATCTATAAGGAAGATTATTTCAGTAGTGGACTCTAGGCTGTAACGGTAATGGTAAATATCCAGCCATTGCATCGCATTCCTCGGCAGTCGTAAAAGATGACATAAAGGGTATGCTGCAGGCTCGGAAAGTCGTGGGTTCGAATCTGCCATTCGACTAATATCGTGGACCATTCCTAACACAACCATTTAAGTTTACTTGGCATGGTTAACAGGATTATTACCAATAATTAACATTGATACAAGAATTTAAAAAATCTACTTACCCGGCCCTAGAGAGATGCTGACAACATCACCAGCGTGTGCATTGAAGTCCATCTCTCTTTTACCAGCCTCTAAATCCCATACGCATCTAAAACATTTCAATTTTAGAAGATTTTGTAACAAATACTAAATTAAAATTATTTATTACCCTAGTCATCCAAGTTATTCTATGTAACCTGGCCAGCATGGCAGCTAGCGATTACTTAATTTTTTTATAGAATAACGATTAAGAACGAGCACACAGTCCACCTGATGATAAATGAATACTGTGTCCCATAGACATCTACATTTAGCTTTGTTAGTGTGGGGTATCGGATTGAGATATCGTGTAGTTCCCATAGACCAACCCCATAGGTTTAAGTGATACTGCTGGACTCTTTACTTTTATTGTCTTCCTTGAAATCTCGTGAGCTTGTCACTACATTAGAAAGGTTGCCTTGTCTAAAAAAGCTAAAAACTGTATTGCGTCTATCACGGGGAGTGCTCTTAGGAATTGTTCGGACTAATTCCAGCCGCTCAATTTCACACAAAACTCGCGATACCATCCATACCATCTGGATGATTGGCGGTCCACCACTGTGCGATTTAAAAGAAGTTTTCTTCCTCGCACAACTTCCTTGTGGAATCGATTACCACCAGCGATTTTTCCGGACCGATACGACTTAGGGACCTTCAAGAAAAGAGCCTACTACTTTTTAAAAGCCCGGCAACACATCTGCAATTCCCCCTGGTGTTGCAGTGTTGCGGTTCCACTACCGGTTTGAACGGCGTCATCGGCTCATAGTCCCACGCCTGGGAAAGATTATATGAGTTTAGAGTAAAAAGAGAACTAATAGTAACTTTTGGTAAGTGGCTACTGCAGTTTGTGGCAAGTAGTTCATTACCCGGCGCTACACATGCAATAATAATATCGTAAGCTAGTAAAACTGAATTGCTTGTTGTTGAACGTTTTAATTAGTGAAACTGTGCAGTGGTGTTGTAAGAATATCCACTGCCCCATATCATCCCGTGGATATCGTAGGAGGCGACAGAGGGAAACTAAAACAGGAGATGGTCAGCAGCACCTTCCTGATAACAACTTAAATATAATAAAAAATAATAAAAAAATAATAAAAAAACTGCGGATGCCAAACCGCCTGCCGAGCGTGGCAACTATAGCAATTATCCTCCCTCTAAGGAAATATATGTATAGAATTATGTTTAGCAGACATATATATATATATATATATATAGATAAAATTTTAAAGGCCGGCAACGCATCTGCAATTCTCCTGGTTCCTTTGGTGTTGCAGTTGTTCATGAGTGGCGGTAGTCACTTACAATCAGGTGAGTCGTATGCTCGTTTGCCCCCTCTCATATAAAAAAAAACTGTACAAGGTTTATGTCGACCAATTTCGCTACGAACTTTCGTTGGTAATTGTTCTTGTAAAATATTATTTACAAACTATCACCAATTCTCAGTTCCAGTGTACGTACATTTTCATGTCTCCGGAGCCGGTGAGAATGTGCGTGTCGTCAAGGAAGCGGCAAGAACTGAGGAAGCCCTCGTAGCCGGCGAGCTCGCGGACCATCTTCGCGGCGCCGGTCGCGTCCCGGTTGTTCACGTCGTATACCGTGCACATGTTGTCCATGCCTCCACAGGCTGCACAAGATTTAGTTATGATACTTTAGAAAAAAGAAAGAAACCTTCAGAAAACTAAACTTCGAGAGAATGAAGCGAATGCAGAGTATCAATAGTAGGATAATTGCAGGGTTTATTTGTCATAATATTGTATAACCAAGTTTAAAAATTATATGCCTATACCCTATTACATTGCATATTAAACAACATCTAAGTTTTTTATGTCAAAAATATTTAAACTTTAAGCTATAATATAAGATAAAAGTTTAATTTTGTAGCAAATAAATATTACAATTCTTATTTTTAGACATGTATAGCTTAACAAATCAAAATAATATTTGCTTTGTAATAGTGCTATGTACTTTATTGTACAGGTGGTCATTTTATCGAACAAAAATTCACTTCTACCGCGTGTGAACTGCACACATGTTTTTTTTTTTTTTACTTAAAGTCAAGCATGTGGCTAATAAGCGATTAAAATTTCAATTTACAATTTATTTGGTGTGTCGACGGGGGTTAACCCCGGTTTGCTCACGTACTGTGGAAGAACATGCCTCTAGAATATACTGTGCACAAAAGTGACAAATGTTACAGACAGACGGATAACCCACCACCTCTCATGGCGCCACTGACCCTCAGGTCATACGGGCCGAATTTTATTTATTTATTTATTCTTTTTTACATCTACCTTATAATAAGGGATATAAAGGGCGGACTTAATGCCTTGTGGCATTCTCTACCAGTCAACCCTGGATGATTTGAGATGCTGTGGTAGGTGCAACACCACTCATTAATTAATAAATAAGTAAAAACATTATACTCGTATCTTATAACAAAAAGCAAATAAATAAAATATTTTTAAACTATACAAACTTAATATTATCTACTTAGTAATAAACAGAAAAAAAATTAATAGTAAATATATAAACGGATAAAATATACTTATATATACAAAATATAAACGGATATAATATACTTATGTATATAAACAAAATATATAAACGGATGTAATATACATATATATACAAAATCTCTAAATAAATATAAAATAATATAACAAAAAAATAAAATAACATGATGCATATTAAAATACATATTATACAAAATATCAATTACAAAGCGAAAGAGTGAGGAAAACAAAAATCGGATAAATCAGGTGGTATTATTCTTGTTAAAGAATTCTCGAACAAGTCTTTTAAAATATTGTTTGTTACTGATTTTTTTTTATATGAACAGGCAAGGCATTCCAGAGCAGTATGGACTGCACAGTAAAAGAGGAATTAAAGAAACCACTCTTATGTGGTGGAATACGAATTTTAAGACTATTTTGGGAACGGGGAACTCTAACATGAGTAGAATATTGGTACTGAAAGTTATCCTTAAGATAAGGAGGAGAATTTGGGTCATTTAAAATTGAATATAGTACTTGTAAAATTCGGGAGCTGCGCCTTTGACGAATAGAAAGCCATTTAAGCTTAGAACGGTACTGAGAAACATGGTCATACTTACGTAAGTCGAAAATGAACCTAATGCAATTGTTGAGAAGGCGCTCCAACTTATCGAGAAGATATTGAGATAGATCTGGGTAACACACATCCGCATAATCAATAATGGGTAATATCAAATTCTGGACAAGTAGAAGTTTAGTTTTAAAAGGCAGAAAGTTTTTGAGTCGGCAAAGAGATCGTAAGGTGGCAGTAACTTTACGGCTTATTTCAGCAACTTGAACTCCCCAGCTCAAGGTATAGTCTATATGTAAGCCAAGATTTTTAACAGATTTACAAAATGGCAGCAATGTTCCATTGTAAAATACGGGAGAAAGATCATTGTTATTAATCTTGGCTAATATTCTGCTACTACCTATAACCATTACCTTACATTTGGAAGGGTTAACCGAAACACCATGTCTGTACGACCAATCTCTTATGGCATCAAGGTTGTGGTTGATTTTGTGAATATTATGGTTAAGGTCATTAATACTAGATTGCACATAGAGCTGAAGATCATCTGCATACAGATGGTACGAACAGTTGAGAACTGAAGTAATAGAATTTATAAATACAGAAAACATTATAGGAGAAAGTATTCCGCCTTGCGGCACGCCTGTTTCAATGTCAGCCCATGTTGAAGACTGTTGTCCTAATCGAACTGATTGCTGGCGGCCGCGAAGATAGGATGAAAACCATTCCAAAGCTGGGATTGAGAATCTAAGATTAGCTAGGAAGGCTATAAGGATATCGTGGTCGACTGTGTTAAAAGCATTTGAAAAATCAACAAGTACTACCACTGTAAGCTTCTGCTCATCCATTCCCATTCGAATGTCATCTGTGACTTTTATCAAGGCAGTGGTAGTACTATGACCTGCTCGAAAGCCTGACTGATATTTATTCAACAGGTTATGTCTGGTTATGAACATAGAGATTTGCTTGTGAACACAGGCTTCCAGAACTTTAGATAGGTACGGCAAAATTGAAATTGGTCTGAAATGGGTTGGTAATAAGGGATTGGGTATTTTAGGAAGTGGTCGCACAAATGCTTTTTTCCACTGAGTAGGATATTGTCCTGAGGCAAGGGAAAAGTTTACGATATGTGTGATTGCAGGCAAAAGGCACTCAAGGATCATGGATATCATAACCTTACTAAGCTCATCGCAATCCACAGCCTTGGATTTAATAGCTAATACTGATTTCTGGATCTCATCTTCACTCACAGGTAAAAAGTGAAAAAAAGGAATAGGGCCGAATCTGCGCGCGCACAAATATTTCGTCTATTCCTTGTTTTTTTTTATAGAATAAGGGTGACAAATGAGTAAACAGTCCACCTGATGGTAAGTGGTTCCTGTGGCCCATAGACATCTACATCTATCTTCGTTTGCGAATTCAAATACTGCAGGGCTATTCACAATCGTCTCGGAAAGCGAAATCGACTCGGATTCGATAACTTCTCGCACCGAAACCAATAAACGCTATTAACATTTAACGTTCGGATAAAGGTCACTTTGATACATCCTATAACTATTGTATCGTCATTTAGTTACATGCATTTACGAATTTTGTAGATAAATAGGCTTTTGTAATTTTTTAGAGTAACGCCTGCACAAAAACATAATGCAATATTTTGGAGTTATCCATTGATATCGAATATAAAAAATATATAATTTAACTATATAATAAATAACAAAAAAACTGAGATATGTCTCGTTTCTTTCGGGTCTGGGTTTTTTTCTATGGGGCGTTCTTTGACGTTTGTTTTCGATAATTGTGACAGTTTGCATCGGAAACTTTACGAGAGCTCTGAGGCTGGCGAAAACTTTTCGAATATTGATGATTAGAAGAGATAAATAAACCCTTTTAATTATAAGGTAGGTAACAAAAATTAATTACAATTATCTATAAGACGTATTTTCATATAATTACCTCAATATTTGCACTTAATCGTAAAGCTGAATTTTTGTGAAAGGTGTGTTTTTATAAGTTTTCTATCACAAATATATATATATATATATATATATATATATATATGCTGCTTTGTGAAACGAGACATATCTCAGTTTTTTTGTTATTTATTATATAGTTAAATTATATATTTTTTATATTCGATATCAATGTCTAACACCAAAATATTGCATTATGTTTTTGTTTAGGCGTTACTCTAAAAAAATACAAAAGCCTATTTATCTACAAAATTCGTAAATGCATGTAACTAAATGACGATACAATCGTTATGGGATGTATCTAAGTGACCTTTATCCGAACGTTAAATGTGAATAGCGTTTATTGGTTTCGGCGCGAGAAGTTATCGAATCCGAGTCGAATTCGCTTTCCGAGACGATTGTGAATAGCCCGGCTGATTCGTTGTCACTCGTGAGGACTAAGATAGAATGCCTCCTTTCCAGTTAAATAGGTCTCCGATTCTCTACACTCACCATATGAAACACAGCAGCATTAAGCTGCTATTTTACGCTGGTACTCTGTGAGAGCGTAGTCTTTCCCCGGTCGAGTCGACCCATAAGTGCTACAACTATACTATTAATATGGCTGCAGCATGGCTCTACCACGTAAAAATATCCCAGTTATGACGTCATTCTCCCCATTCTGGTGCTGACGGCACTATTACGCCTACGTCGTCAGGGCTTTCTGCTAGCATTCTCTCTTGCCTTATCCTAATATCGTGCCACCTATGCGCAAACTCCCGCCACAGCCACACCATCGCTGACGACATCCGAGTAGTAGTTCGGTCCTTGAACCGTACGAATTAATCCATCCATCATTTTCGCTCTTAGGTCGTCATACAAAGGACATCAAATACGCTAACTTTTTTACTAGGTTGTAAGATTCCATTTCTGCCTAAGAGTTTGTCTGGGTACGTACATGTGTGTGTATGTACCACCCTCACTTATTTCTACCACCAAATAGCAGTACCTGAACTGTTGTGTTCTAATCTAAGCCTTCAGAGGTGACAACGCATCTATAGTCTTCTTTCTTTTACGTTCTCTGTAGGTGTTCTGTGCAGGTGTCAATTTTTAACAGTGGTAGAGCCACGCGGTAGCTTTTGCTGTCGCACGGATGGGCCGGCTCGAACCGGGGTGGTACTACGACCTCACAGAATACCAGCATAAAGTAGAGGTTTACCTCTGCGTTTCGCTTGGTGAGTGCAGGTGGCCAGAAGCCCTTTTTACTGGAAATGAGGCATTCCATCTTAGTCCTCACGGGTGGCAACGCATCTGCTGTAGACGTCTATGGGCCGCAGCAGCCACTTACCATCAGGTGGACTGTGTGCTCGTTTGTCACCCTTATCCTATAAAAAAAGGTGTTTATGGACTGGAGTAGCCACTACCAGGTGGACTTTAAGTTTGTCCATTTAAAATTTGAAATATATATATATATATATATATATATATATATATATATATATATATATAGATATATATATATATATATATATAATTACTAGAATTAAACCGCACGAAAACATGAAAAAGGACCCACCGACGAAATTGCCTGATGGTGCAAAGGCGACGCTCATGACCCAGGCAGAGCGCAAGGGAATGACCTGAACCTTGTTGCCGCTCCACGTGTCCCAGATGATAAGTTTTCCATCCAGCGACCCAGTTACGCAGTGTCTGAAATCGAAAATCAGTCTCATATAAATAATGACCACGTGAGTTAGAATAGAGTGAGATTTACTAACTAGGTGACCCTACAGGTCACAATTCGGGGTAAATTACAAAGAATGTGTACGGGGCACAGAGGCAGATTATATGTCAACAGCACCCTAGGCTAGCACCACATCGGCACCCCTCTGGCAGCTATCTATAAAAATAAATAAAATTAAAGTGTCTGTTTGTAACGTCAAAATAACAGCTTTTTACTAAATGCATATGAAAGTATACGGTATTTATAACAAAAACACAATTATAAAATTTTTGTCTGCCTGTCTGTTTGTTCCGGCTCCGAAACAGATCGAAGTATTAAGGTCGTAGTCGACAGTGCATACTTCGACTCCAAGTGCATGCTATCGCCTACCCTGTTCCTTTTGCATATCAATTATATGTTGCATACCATTAATATTCCTTTTATGCAGGTGACAGCACTTTCGATGCCTTTTAGATGCCTGGTGTACACACCAGCCGTGCTAGTATTTCTCGGGAACACGTCGTGTGCTGGAGCAAACTTATGTCTGAAGTCGAGTCTTTCTAAATCTAGTGCAGTTTAACCCCCGAAGGACATGGATACACATTTACCGCAAAAAAAGAACCCCTTTGTCGAATCTCCTCATTCTCAGGACACTCCTCTCTTTGCCTGAGACAGAATCGGAATCCTTGTCGTCGACATTTCTTGATACGTTTAGTACAGTATTCAAGAGAGAGCGGGCCGAATCGTCGACGACCAAGTTCTATCCGATCAGCTTGATCCACTGCACTGGCCTGTTTCCTATGGCGAGTGTAGAGAACCGAAGAATATTTTTACCGGAAACGAACCATTGTTCTCAGTCCTCAGGGGTGATAACGCATTTGCATTTTCATAAATGTAGATGTCTATGGGCCACAGCAACCACTTACCATCAGGTGGGTTGTGTGCTCGTTTGTCACCCTTATTCTATAAAAAAAAAACATAATATAGCTGTATCGTGGCACTACCATGTAAATCACAATCAGGTGGATTGTGTGCTCGCTTATCACCCTAATGATGGTGATAAACGAGCACACACTTTCACACACACATCCACGACTTTTTCTGTCACCAGAGCGGCGCCACTAGAAAGTGAGGTATAATATTTGCAAGATTTCATAGCGGGGAAGTTAATTTGTTCGGAAAATGTGAAATTTATTGTTTCTCTCTATACTATTATTATTTATATATTATTATTATATTAGCTAGATTTTATATTAATAACATTAATAATAAATAAACCAACCCACAGATATTCATAAAAGTAGAAAAATTAAAAAAAAGTTAATAATGTGCAAAAAATTAAAGAGTAAACTACTGACGCATTGTTTTGTGTATTAATATAATACTCTAGAAACTGATAAACTTTTATTTGAAACTAACTTCTCAATTAAATTACATTGTGTAACAAGAAACTTTATCTCAGTGTCAACTAGCGACATCTGGTGACTAGAAAATTATTAGCCTTCATTAAAAATAAAAAAAATCTTTTTTACAGAGACGGTCACATCTATCCACATTCCAATCACATGACTATTGTCGTAACATCCGCGGCCGCAGTTTTTAATCTTGTTTATACAAACAAGATTAACGGATGACCAACTGACCGTACCATATCGCTAAACGTGAGAATAGACAACAGTCGGAAAATAATTATTATCAAACAATGAATAGGGGGTTGCGGGAGCAGGGTTATAGGAAGAACGAAAATAATATCAAAAGAAATAGCAGCTTAATGCTACTGTGTTGTGTATGCTACGAGTAGATGGCGCGAATATCAGTCAAGTCATTAATAAATTCTATATTTATTCAGCAAAATTACTCATATTCATAATAAATATTGGTTTAGTACCAAAGAAAACTACAAGATCTGCACCCGATAGGTGGCGCTGTGATTATTAATAAATTTTATAATTTCACTGTAAAAATTTACGGAGTGGACGTATTTATCAAGTCTCTGAAAAAACGTTTGTGACAAACAGACATATTAACAGACAACAAGGTTTAGAATTTCGGCATGGAACATTAATGATGCTGGTGAAGTGAAATTCACGCGAGCAACCTCTCGAGCAAAAGCTATAGAGTATTATCAAAAATATTATTTCAGTTTCTTTTTGCATGAGATATTTTCACTATTTCATAACGTATCTAAAAACCGTTGACACTGCCGCCGTAATAACTTTTATTTTTCGCTTCACTGGTCTGCTCATATAACGTCATTAACTAAATAGAGAACAGAGTTTTTAAAGTAATTGTTATTTATTTGTGATAAGTATTTAAACATTTAACAAGTAAATGTTATCATAAAATAAAAGCTTCTTTGGGATCGATCGAGAGAGATCGACATCTGTCATATCATTTATCAAGTCGCTTAGGCTTCAATTTACAGAAGAACAGGCAAACATTGTTACATATATGCACCCAAAAATATAATAAATTAATATTAAATTTATCACACGTCTTTTTATCTGTTATCATTTCGAAATGAGGTTCTCTACCTGGATGAGAAACGGCGAATGAAACTTCGCAGGTAACCATCCTAGTTTTATTAATGTTTTAATGGAAAACCTTAGAATAATACAGTTAACTAGCTTCTCACGCCACGGTCTTACCCGCGTCTAAGTCTGGAAAGTCATGACCTACACTTATTATGAAATCGTATAATACGGGGTGTTCATGTTCATGTTCATGGAATCACATGAAAACTTTTCATATTTCGGCGTGATAATGATCACAGAATTTAAGTTAAGACTGAGGCATGTCGAATGGTGGAAACAGCTCTAACAATCTTTCGTTTCGTACTTGATTACATTCATGCTCCTTCTTCATTAAATTATTTTCTAGTACAGCTGCACTCCTGTGGACATCTTTGCCTCCACATATTGGCCGTGCTCAATCTCTTTATTCCTCAGAAAGTCTTTTTAAAACTATATTACTTTGAACTCTAATATTTCATATTTCCTATTTTTTCTTGTATTTCTATCCTACTTTCCTCAACTATCATCATCTGGTGTTTTTCATTTTTTAACTTAATTTTATTTTTTATGTATACCTCCTTCCTGGCCATTTAAAGGGGTTTATCATCCAAAGCTTTTCAGTAACTTATGAGTTAATCGGCTAGTAGAATAAAAAGTTTATACCCTATTTCACCCTCTAAGCGATGGAATTTTCCAAATTCCAGAGTATGTCCACCAATTTGCAAATAAAATAGTATATATCCGTGTTCATTTATTTTATTTACAGGGTACTTTCAGTAAGTTTCAAGCATCCATTGCCAGTCCATCGACCCGTAAAAAGTTTATTAAAAACTGTAACACCCTAATTTACACTCGTAGTGGTAGAAGTTTTAAAAATTCCGTCTTAGTGGATAACTATCAAAATATCAGATTTATACTTGAAACGGTTGGGCTGTGCGTTGATAGATGAGTTAGTCGATCAGAAAATCGTTTTTTATACACACACACACATATACATATATTAAGGATAACTCAAAATCTACTGATCATAAGGGACCACATGAGAACCAGCTTTCAAATATAATAAAGGATCAAAATCGTAAAAACCACACATAAAAAACTTACAATCGAAAAAAGGAGGTACTCACTCCTACTTTTCGAAGTTGGTTAAAAAAGAGTGCAGTTTTGTAACTTAATAGCAGTAGTTATCTGTTGCTGTAAAATGGCAGTTGAAACGGAAACGGAACGGTTACGATGAAATTTTGAAGTCAAGGTTAAAAAATAAATGCTTGAGATTTACCGTCATATTACTCTGAGTAATGACGCAAATTTTGCACTCATATATTCCAATCTAGATGTGTCTTACAAAAACAAAAATCCACACTAAACGATAAATTATTGTGAGATTTGGAAAAAGATTGGTTTCAGTAAGTATTAGTATTCAGAACGATTAAATCCACATAGCGCTGTAGACTGTACAAACAATAATATAATGTAAAATTAAAAATTTTGTACATCCGACTTCAATAAAAGTTATTAAGAATAACTCAATAACTATTGGTCTGACCTTGATCAAATTTATATGGAGCCACACGAGAAGTAACAGCTTTCAAATAAAAAAAGAATCATCGAAATCGGTTCACCCAGTAAAAATTTATGAAGTAACACACATAAAAAAGAAACAGTCGAATTGAGTACCGTCTCCTTTTTGGAAGTCGGCAGAAAACACAGCGAAGCCATAGTTGATAAAACGATTATCCTTATAGTAAACTAAAATTACAGATTTTATACGACCTTTCTTGCTTGCTTTGCATAGGCCTCCCCCCATTTCTAATTTCTAAGAGGTTTATGAAGCAATGAGTCGGTCGTGCTACCTAGAGTACATATATATATGAGCTCTTATTGTACTTTAAGGCGTCGGCCATAGAGTTTATTTATATGTACGGACTTGCTTTTTTTATAGAATAAGGGTGACAAACGAGCACACAGTCCACCTGATGGTAAGTGGTTGCTGTGGCCCATAGACATCTACATCGATCTTCGTTTGCGAATTAAAATGTAGATGCGTTGTCAGCCGTGAGGATTAAGATAGAATGCCTCTTTTCCGGTAAAAAGGGTTCTCTACACTCACCATACGAAACACAGCAGCGTTAAGCTACCATTTTACGCTGGTATTCTGTGAAAGCGTGGTACTTCGCCGGTCGAGCCGACCCATTCGTGCTACAACTATACTACTAATATAGCTTCAGTATGGCTCTACTACCGTACCACGTAAAATTACAATTATTTAATATAAATATAGCCATTCATTCAATAATTCAATTGTTACAGCCCTTCACTAGTCCACTGTTGAATATAGACATTTCCCAAGGAATGCCTTAAGGCACTGTCCTGAGCCAACTGCATCCATCGATTTCCCGCATATCTTACTAGTTCGTCCCTCTCGTACTCTACCTATTGGGGGATCATCCTTCACTTTTCTTACCAGTATGTGG